AACTAGAGGAAAGTTGTATTTCTCATCGTTGTTACATCGCACCCTGACTGGCTCATCTCCTCCCCGAGACCCCTCTGCAAGGGGATCTCCAGTGGCCTATTAATGGGCTTTGGATCTCCACTCCGCACTCCCTCCATCATTATTTATCAAGTTGACATGAAATTGTTTAACTACCTCAGACCCTATATACGGTTTGTAAGTCTGTCAGTGTTTATGGGAGTAGATAGCTTCTTTTTGCAACCACTGAACGTCTAGAGGGTTTGAACCACTGATCTTGTAGTTAGCAGTACAACGCTTACTCATCTGCCCCTCCAGGTTCCTTAGACACCTAGGCTGACCGTTTGAAACTAATCTCATTCTCTTCTCCCCAAACTCTGTTCGTCTTCCCCTGTGTTTCTGGTAAGGAGTGTGGCACAGTGCCCACCCGCCTGCCCATGCCAGGGCACGGTACTCTCCTCTCTGCTCCCTGCACCCATCACACACCAAGTCCTTGCTGATTCATCCCATAGTGGGGATCCGCCTGCTTCTCTGCTCTCCACGCCACTCCCTTAGCCAGGACTACTACTATCGCTTCTCCATTATAACCAGACCCCGCCCTCCCCTGCTTGACCTGCCACCCCTCCGCCCCCACCTCCACCTCCTCCGTTCCACTCTGACTGGACTCCCCCCAGTCTGCCAGACCACTTTCATCAGGTCTCACTTCCAGCACATCCCGAGTTCCTGCCGTCCTTGGGTGACGTCTGCTAAGTCTGGTTCAGAACCACTAGCGTGTTCTCATGACGCCCTGAACAACCCCCACTCCAGCACTTTCCCCGCCCACCATAAATGCTGCTCCAACCTATGTTCCCATTCAGCTGGACACTCCAGGAGGGCAGGGCCCTCTGGGTCAATTCCAGCCCGTGGCCACTCTGGGTGTCAGAGGAGAACTCTCCTCCGTGGGGTTTTCAGCGCCGTTGTTTTTGTTTTAAAGTCCGATCACCAGGCTTTCTTCCAGCAGACCCCAGCCCTGCGTGAGCAGCCGAGCACATTGAGCATTGCAGGGGCTTGTTGAGCGAACGGCGGGGGCAGGGACAGCAGCCAGGTCGCTGGTCGTAAAGCTCAGCACGAGTACCTGAGAGTCAGGACGGTGTTCAGCTTCCTCGTCAGAAGCATGGGATGGAGGTCACCGCCGACGAGTGAGGTGTAGCTACAGCCCTAGCATGAGCCAGGGCCAAAGTGCATGTGGACTCCCAGAGTTCAGTCTGGGTGCAGGTTGTCAGGGCAGTAACTGTAGGACCTTGAGGCTGTCGAGCACAAGTGCCCAGTCTCCACAGGACCCTACTAGCGGCAGCTTTCCATTTCTCTCCTTGTAACCATCCCAATATGGTCAGGAGCAAGCTGGAGTCAGAAGGCCTGGGTTTGCCCTTGACTTTGACCTTGGACAATCACATACCCTTTCCTATCCTTTACTTCCCCATCTGTAAAATGGGGAAATCCTATAAGCTTAGCTGGCAGCGTTGTTAAGAGGATTCCGTTTTAACACTGTGTATGAAGCGCCAGGAGGGTGCCTGGCACGGAGCAAACATTTACACGTGAGTGTTATTCTTGTTACCCTGAGGCTGCGTCACACGCACTATAAACTTCTGTGACAGCATCCTCGGTGGTTGCGCTTGCCTTTCCCCTCGCAGCACCCCGCACAGAATGGGGTGGGAGAAGCTGGCCGTTGGGTCCCGAGTCAGTCTCAGTCCTGTGGGTCTTTGCAGGGGGGGCAGGGTGGAGATTCTGAGTGAGGCGCGCCGCCGTCTCCGTCCAGTGCCAAGAGTGGAGCATCGCGGATTGGTTGGCAGCTCAAGTTGTGTGTGTGACTCTGAGGTAGAGAGGAGATGAAGAAGACAGAGCGGCTGGGATTCCCGTTCCCGGGCTGTTGTGCTTACTGCAGGGTGTCGAGCCGCCTCCACGGAGCCCCTAACCCTGACCGGCACACAGGTCACCTGGTGGGCCTGCAGGAGTGAGCTCCCCACCACCCGCCCTGTCGGAGAGACAAGTAAAGTCTCTCAAAGCCCAGTTCAGATGCCTTCTCTTCCAGCAGTGCTTGCCTGGTCTTCTTAGCTGGGAACACACTTCCCTTCCCATGAGCTGCTGCTGCTGCATGTCATCGGTGCCTGTCATGCCCGACCATCCCCCCCGACCCCAGATCCCTGAATGAGGCTGCTGTAGTCCCGGGCTATTTATTCTCTTCTTGTGTGCCATGTGGGCACTGGGCAAGTAGGGCCAGTGTGGGTGGTGGAAAGGGCTGGGTGACCTTCCTGGCGCTCTGGGTGGGCCATGCAGCCCCTTTCTGCAGCTGCAGAATGTGATGTGCTGCACGTCCGGCTCAGCTGTCACTCATTGAAACACTTCATCCCATGTAAAGACTGAAGGCTGTCTGTCACCTCCTAGGGAACCTCTTCTTCTGCTCCTTCTGAAGCTGCCTGCTTGGAAAGGAAGCCACCTGGCAGAGGAGGCCGGAGAGAGGGAGAGACAGAGAGAGGGAGGGGGGAAGAGAGAGAGAGAGAGAGAGGAGAGGAGACACGACAGGGAGCTAGAGCACCAGCGGAGTGAGGAAGCCATTGCGTGTGGAGTGGCGAGCCCGGTGCTGCAGAGAGAAAGAAGCAAGGCTGGCAGGTGGGCTGCGCTGAGAGGCACCAAGAAGGTTGGTAGGCTTGGACAGAGAGGGTATGGCCTGGTTGAACAAACCCAATCATCTGAGAAGAGATTGTTATTTTTTTTAGCAAAGATAAAGGGAGATAGACAGCTGGGGCGCCAGAATTTTTGATCTAGGATCGGAATCTGCATTGGGGACCCGATCCCTCCGCCCCATTCCTTGGCTTGCTTGTGTTTGGCGGGAGACTGGATGGAGGCTCCGAGGCCCAGAACTTGCCTCCAATCCAGGTTAAGCGCAATGCAAAGGCAGCAGGCCTGCTGGGCACTGGCTTCGAGTCCGTCCCAAGTGTGACTGTCCCCTTTCTTGCAGGTTGCGACAGCGACCACTGGGGCCCCCACTGCAGCAACCGGTGCCAGTGCCAGAACGGCGCCCTGTGCAACCCCATCACTGGAGCCTGCGTGTGCGCCGCTGGCTTCCGCGGCTGGCGCTGCGAGGAGCTCTGCGCGCCCGGCACCCATGGCAAGGGCTGCCAGCTGCCGTGCCAGTGCCACCACGGTGCCAGCTGCGACCCCCGCACCGGCGAGTGTCTCTGCGCGCCCGGCTACAGCGGCGTCTAGTGAGTAAAGCAGCCATGGGTCTAGCGGCAGGGCCTGGAGGGTGCACCTGCTCCCTGCAAACCAGCCTGGCCCAAAGCCCCTTGTAAATAGGTAAGGTGGTGGGGGGGAGAAGGGCCCGGACAAACCTAGTTGCAGAGCCTCCCCCATTCTGACCCCTAGTTCAGGTGGCCCTCAGACATTCACCATGCAGGCCACAGGCACCAGGGCCAACCTGAGATTCCACAGGGCCGCGTGGCGGTCAACCCCCCACAGGAAGCCTGCCTTCCCCGAGAAGAACTCCCACACCAACAGCTAGGCCCAAGAAATAGCTTGGAAAGCTATTTCTTAGCTTAGAAATCTCCTCTGGCCATAAGTCAAATGCACGTCCTCACAGGAGCTTCCCTGCCAAGCAGGGCCTGGCAGACCTCCCAAGCAGATCTTGGTGATATATACAGTGTGTTCTCAGCCTTCTCCCAGCAGGGCCCAGACTTTCACTCCGTTTCCCCGGAGAGTCCCCTTGACTGGCCCTCCAAGGCTGCTTAGTGAGACCCCTCCGAGGCAACACTCCAAGCCTGTAGGGGGCCAAGGACTCTGGACCCAGAGACATCCTTGATTGGACATGTTCCCTCCCCTGGCTCCCGGCCGACGCCCAGCCCCTAGTGAGCCGGAGACCAAAGCCATTGACAGGTTAATGTCTGTGTCCAAAACCCCATGTGCACCTACCCCCAGCCTAGCATGGGAGCTGGGAGCCTTCCAGAGCCCAGATAGGGTGCACTTCCAATTGTCCCCATCTCTGAATCCGCGAGTCTTGAGGGAAAGCTCCACCCCTCCCCACCCCCCACCCCCATGCCTTTGTTCCCACTGCCCCCCTGCATGACATGCCCTTTCGTTTTAACACTGACTTCACCTGCCAGGGTCACAGGGAGTCTTCCTTAGCCCCCCACCCCACCCTCCCTCCGCCCCAGAAGAATATTCTGAGCATGAAAGTCCTTCCACCAGTACTGGCCCAGTGACACCCCACTTCCCGCCTGTCTGCAAGCAGAATTCCTGGGGGCTCTGCACTGATAGGATTGGCCTCCCAGGGCCTGACATCAGCCTCGTCTCCACCCTGCTGTATCTTATACCTTTGCTTCCCCATCCAGCTGCGAGGAACTGTGTCCACCTGGGAGCCACGGGGCTCACTGTGAGCTGCGCTGCCCCTGCCAGAATGGGGGTACCTGCCACCACATCACCGGTGAATGTGCCTGCCACCCGGGCTGGACGGTAGGTGGGCCCCAAAGAAGCTGGGTGCGGCCAGTGGAAGCCCGTACATCCCTCACTCACAAGGCTCTCAGAGGGAGAATTTCCTCTCCCATCTTGAATACTCTCCCTTCTCTATGGTCTTAGACACTGGATGGTACCATGGGAACCCCTTGGCATCCCAATTCTGCCAGCTAAATGCTGTGTTGCCTGAGGCAAGTTACTTAACCTCTCTGAGCCTGTGGTCTGTCCCTCTCATGTACAAAGGAGTTGCATCCTCCCCATAAGACGGGCTGTATCCTTGGACGTGGGTACCCGTGTGAGATACTGTGGGCTCTGGGCCTGATGTGATTAGAGGAGGGGAGATGGCAGAGGATGGGCCCCTGATGTATAGAACTTCAGATTCTCACACATACACGCCCACTTGTTTCTGTGGATCTGGGGCGGGGGAGTGGGGATAGGAAACTGGAAAAAAAGAAAAAAAGAAAAAAGCCATCAAATCAATCCACATTCCTAGTCAGCGTCTAGGACGGAGCAGGACTGCCCCAGTGAGTGTCTGTAACTGTAGCTCGTGCCGGGAGTCGAGCACCTCCTCTTTCTCCCACGGATTAGCTGGTGGTCTTAAAGTGCTGACCTTGGTGTCCCAGGACTCCTACTGGGGCAGCGGGGTGGGGGCGGGTGCAAAACTTTAACAAGTGTCCCGGATGGTTCTGATGCAGCCTCCCTCAGCCTGGGTCTTTTTGGTACAGGGGTAGGACTTATAGCCTCACAGACCTAAACCCAAGTCTTCCATCGCTGCTGACCCTGCTACAGGCCCTCAGCCACTCTGGGCATCAGCTTCCCTGCCCTGTGCCGCTCCCGGGGCTGGCCGGATGTCAAGAAGCAATACCCGTTGCAAATTCAGACGAAATTCAGACGTGCTGCGCAGTGCTTGCATCTGCTCCGGGCGCCCCTGCTCTGCCGGCCAGTGCTTCTGCAGTCACGCTCCCCGGGCACAGCACGGAGGCGGAGGCTGACTCTCCAGTGACACAGCCTGTCAGGAAGCCCAGGCACACCCCTGGCAGCCTCCCTCCGCGACCTGAGGCTGCACAAAGCCAGCAGGAACAGGCTGCTGAGCAGGACAGAGTGTTTCAGGAGGCTGTGGGTGCTGGGTCACAGGATAGGTAGGAGCAGTGCCCATTCTACGGAACGGGACAGGGCTTTGGGATGCGATGGCCCTGCAGTCCCCAGGCCTGGCGGCAAGCCAGCGTGGATCAGTTCAATACAGACGCCCAGGCTCCTGGCCCTGAGCCCGTCTGGGGCCCGGGGATCTCTGTTTGTAATAAGCTCCTGGATAATATGGAGGGAGCCGGCCCGGACTGCAGGTCTACATTTGAGTGCAATTGATCAAGGCCCGGGAGCTCTGGGGACTGGAAGCCTAATAATTAGCGCTCTGGCTCCCCCGCCCCACGCTGCCTCTCTAGTTGAGCTTATTCTCTCTGCTGAGATTTCTGGGAACCCTGGTGGGTGATGCGTTGGGTTTGAAACCACCAGCCACCCTATGGGAGAAAGAGGAGGCTTTCTCCTCTCAGAGAGAGTTACAGTCTCGGAAATCCACAAGGGCAGTTCTACCTGGTCCTATAGGGTTCAGGGTTTATTGGGAGTCTAATAAGATTCCCCACAAAAACAGGGCCCCCCATCTTCAAGAAGTCTCAGTCCCCTTCTCTCTCAGAGAGGAACTGAGACCCAGAGAGGGTAAGTGATCTGCCCAAGGCCATGCTGCCCAAGGTCAGGACTGAGGCAGAACTAGACTCCAGGTCTCCTGAGCCCTGGACCGCAAGCCTGGTGTCTGACTCCTCAGAGGAAGACAGACTGACTACTGACTCCCTACCACGACTCCCTACCTGAACTGCTCGGCCTTCTGGAGCCAGCTTCCAGATCCGCCCAAGCAGTCAGGGCAGAGAAATGGGGGGGATGGGGGAGAGGAAGGCTGTGAGGGTGAAGGGCTCTCTGGAGAGACTGTGGGAGGCAGGTTGTCCCTGGGAGGGAAGGGCCAAGCCAGCACAGGGAAGGACCTGTTTCTTCTCCCCCTGCCTGGTGAAAGGTTCGTTCTTCCAACGACAGGAAATTCTGTCTATAGAAGCCTTTGGATGTGGAGACTTTATGTTTTTAATTTTACTGTAGACAATTGCATTTCTATTTTTGACACAGCATTTAACTTGCAGATTTATATGAATTATTAATACCCCTTGTGCACGCACAGCCGCTATATAATGAAGCTGCCATTCAAGCCTGAGGCTCCTCCCAAGGCCTGCTGAGGCCAAGGAGAGGATGCTAGGGAGAAAGGTCACTCCGTTATCGTCCTCAGTGGCCTCAGTGGCCTCACTCTCATGTGGCCTGTGTGGTTTCCACCGGGCATTTCCCTCTCAGATGCAAAGCAGCCGCTGGATACACACCTCTTCACTCCCGACGGCGGGTTGGCTGTGCAGAGCTGGAGAGGAGCCAGGAGGACCTCTGCCCTCCCCACACTCCCCCCAGGCCCTTCCTCTGGGATTCTTGAGTGTGAGGCCCCAATATGCTCACGGGACACCATTCTTGCCCAGCAGGGGTGAGCTCTTCCAGGAGGGGCCTTTACAAAGCACCTGGGGACTTAATTCCTTTTTTCTTCACACGGAGACCTTTCAGAAGAGAGAAGTCTGAGTGAGTTGTTGGATGACAGTGGTACAGCCAGGTAGGGAGGTAGGGATATGATGGCCCACCCCCTTAGAAGTTCCTGGTGGCAGAGGTTGGATAGC